GGGGGAACCCCCCAGCCCACTGCAGCAGCAGCCCGGCAGCAGCCCCCGAGGTGGATGACCCTCCTCTGCCGGACTTGCATGAACCTTCCCGCGTGCTCAGGCAGAGCCCGCAGGCAGCATTTTTAGGGAGGCTCCCAACGCAGCAATTGAGGGGCTTGGCGGCTTGCAGGAGCCAGCCTGCCGGCTGGGCAGCGCTGCAGGGGGATGTGCCCTGTCTCTGAGCAGCCCCGCGCCTTGGCAGAAGGCAGCAGCCTCTTGCTGTCAGCCCTGCTCCGAAAGCTCCCCAGCCTTTGCCTGCTCCAGCGCATGGCGTTTGTCTCCTTCCCTGGGCAGGGAGCAGAACAGCAGCAAGGCCGAGCAGGTCCTCGCCGAGGTCGCCAGGGCCATTGGCCGGTACCCTGTGGACTTGCGCGGGGCTCGGATCCTGACGGGCAACGAGGAGGGCTCCTTCGGCTGGATCACCGTCAACTACCTGCTGGAGACGCTCGTCAAGGTGCGGGCTCAGGGAGAGGGCAGAGGAGGGGTGAGCCGTGTGTATAGCCCTGTCCCAGCTACAGCCAGGTCTCTTCATTCCCAGAGGAGAGAAAAAGGGAGTTTCAGGGCACGAGTCACCCCAAGAAGTGTAGCCGGTGGTTGTGAAGTGCAGATTCAGCTCCAGGGATGTGCTGAACAGGATCAGGGTCTTTGTGTCCAGCTCAGCCTGGCCCGGTGCTCTCCTCTCTCGCCTGGGTCCATTTTGGCATCACAGGGATGCAGCAACATCCGTCCCCAGATGAAGGGGTTACTCCGTCCCTCCTCAAAGCCTCTGGACCCTGGAGGTCTGTGTGGGTGGAGGAGGACGTAGGCAGGAAAGGGTTCAAGAGGGAGACAGGGTGTGGAAGGTGCCTCAGGGGCTTGTGAGCCCACAAAACCTTGAGGGAAGGGGCAGGGACTGAGAGTCCCTCCAGCTGACACTAACACTTGCTGTTTTATCGGGCCAGTTTTCCTTTGCAGAGAAATGGGAACATCCGTGGGACACGGAGGTTCTCGGAGCTCTGGACCTTGGGGGTGCCTCGACACAAATAACCTTCCAGCCTGGAGTCACCGTGGAGGACAAGAACACCTCCGTCTTCTTCAGGCTCTACGGCACCAACTACTCGCTCTACACCCACAGCTACCTCTGCTATGGGCAGACGCAGGCCTTGAAGAGGCTGCTGGCAGCTCTCCACCAGGTACTGCAGCCGCTGGCCACCAGGATCTCCTCAGCCCTTTCCCATTGCCCTGAAAGATGCCTTCCAGAACCGCCGGGCACGTGTAGATGTTATGTACTGAACCAGAACATGCCCTCCTTTGGGTGGAAGGTGGTGGTGGTTCCCTGCCAGGGCTCCCTTCTCCCCACACGTTGCCGTGTCGTGGCATTTTTCACCGTTTCCCAAGCCCAGCCGTGTCCTTCGGGTCTCGCTGTCCCCCTTCGCTCGCCCTCCCTCAACTCCTGCCCAGAGAGAGGATTCCCAGCACAGCTCCCGCACTCCGCCCCACCCCTACGCAGTGTCCTCCTGTCTGGCCGGGGACGGAGCGCGCGGCCCAGCGCCGCGGGAGGCAGAGCTGCTCGGGGAGCGT